ATTAAATTTCCGATAAGATCTCAAAGTCTGGCTGGAACGTTCGGGGCCACCTTGTATATAATATGGTATTTTATATATATAAACATATATTATACATAATCTTATATTTTAAAACTGATTATATATAATATATATTTTATATATATATTGTATATATAGTAAGTTAACAGATCTGTGTTTAAATTATCATAAACTGACGTTTAAAAAATTTGAGTTAAGAATAAAATGAATGAATATCATAACATGGCATGCTATTTGACCATTCGAATAGAGCATCACTGAATGTTGAAAAGAAAAGATAAAAACCCACAGAGAACATTAAGCCGTTTTAAAGACATTTAAAAGACATAAGATGTCATTAAGAGAACTTTGAGACGTCTGTTAGACACATCTGTTATCTGGGGAGAAGAAAAAAGGGAGAGATAGTGATAAAAGACAACAATTATTTTACTCTTCATTACTATCTCTTACGTATTACGATCCTCATTCCTTAGGCGTTTCTTATGCGTAATTTAAAAATTTATTTAATTGACAAAATTTTGGCGTTACATGATAGTTTTCATGTACGTGATGAATGTACAAAATAATGAAAGCTTTTAATAGCGAAAAAATTTTAAAAATGCGTGATACCAACAAACTTTTAGCAATGTATCTTCCGCACGCGAGTATCCATTTCGAACTATCTAGTCGTAATTGTGTTCGATATATTTCTGGCAGAGCGTTATTCATTTTAAAGTAATCATTATAAATATCTTTTTAAATATGTAACAGATTTTCTTAATCTTGAAGAGTAAAAAATGTTTGATGATAACAGAAAAAAAAGAAAGTATATCATGAAAGTGAATCATCTTACTATCTTATCTTATCATCAACGCTAATGCCAGTATACTCATTTTTATTAATGAACTATTTGCATACTAATTACGTCGTGGCACAATGCTTGTCTGTTAAGTGCTACAAGAAATTACATATATAATTACAATATTTAAATAATATATTGTACAAATTATAAAAAGGTCATTGTAATTTGTTGAAATAAAATTTATGGCGAGTATTCTTGAAGATATCTTGGAAAAAGAAAATACTAAAAAAATAGTTTTCTTAACTTTTGACAAGTCCATAAAGTGTATAAATTCTTTTTATTATTGAATTTAGTTGATATTAATAAATTAATATTAATTTGATATCGTACACACACAATACAAATCTATGTGCGCGTTTATATCAAGTTAATATACAAATTCAGAAATGTATAAAAAACCATCTGTATTCCCGAGAAATATAAGCATAATTTCTTATTTCTTGACATAACAATAGATTTAACTGATACTAATTAATTTGTATTGTCCTATTTTCGATATAAAAGCTGGTTTATATATCAAAAAAAGAAAAAAGACGCAGATTGATGGAAGGAAATGATCGATTGAAGGCTCTGTAAGTTCGTTACAAGTGATTTTCTCATGTGAGCTCGCGCAATCGCAATTGCATCTGTTCGCTCGTATATGTATATGTACTTGTTGATGAAGCGGAGGTGGAAGCGGAGGTGGAAGCGGAGGTGGAAGCGGAGGTGGAAGCGGACAAGAATAGACGGAACAGACATAGGCGCGTGTAAAGGCGGCTGAGAGAGAGCGAGCGCCGATCATTCGTACGAGCGTACGATGCGTTGGCACATCCCACGTTCGAGAAGAGGTGTAGCTCGTCATCCGTAGCTCTGTCGAGTAGACTTTTGCGTGCCTGCCCCGGACAGCATGTCATCTCTGTCCGATAACATCCGTGTCCTGGCCAGGCAAGAGGCGTTCAAGGACTTCTCCTATTTCGACGAGGAAACCGTGTCCGCGGTAAGTACGCGAATGAAATCCAGATTGACCCAAGTCTCTATCTGTCCTCGCCGAGGCCATCGTGTTTTCTTCCTTAGCACGTGCGACTGACACCAAATGTTTATCGATACAGTTTTTTGTCATTCATCTCAATTTTGTATCTGCGCATCCCGTTCTTCAGGCATGCATATCATGTGATTGTCACAAGTAGAGTCTCTTTGCGTATCTCTTGTAAGATCAATTTAATCAACAATAGGTAATTTTTTTAGAAACATATGTGCACTCAGATAAAGTGCCTTTTATCGCAATATTATACTGTTGGAAAAATTGTGTTTTCTTGTTAAAAAATATACTGGTAAAAATTTTTGTGTTAAACATTTAACACAATTTCATGTATTAATTTAACATATTGCTATTGTGTTAATTGAACATAAATGTTTTGCGCAAAAAATTTGAAAGAAAGTGTAAGAATAACACAATGTGCACATATTATTAATTTTACACAATAGATACGTTCTGTGTTATTAGTGACAAGATTTATCTGTTATAACTTATAGAAAAAGATATTAAATTTAATTCAAATCAAAGAGTAAAGGCAATATTAAATTTATTCTACGATAGAAGTGAAAGTGACTACAGACTATCAATTTTTCCAAGTTAAATTTATCAGTAAAAATATGTTGACACATAAATATATGTTTACACAAAATTTATTTCAAATTACTAGAAATTTGCATTCATTTTTTGTGTTGAAATATTAACATAATATTAGTGTCACCATTTAATGGTAATAAATATTAACATAATATTAGTGTCACCATATTATGTTAAATTAACACAAAATTTGTGTGAATCATTTTAGACATGCGATATATGTTAAATTTAAGTCAAATTTTCCAACACTGTACATAAAAACTAAAAAAAATATATATCAGATTCTGGAAATATATTAAAAAATATGTTATAGAGTAAGAAAGTGCATGAAAAACTAGAGAATAAAAGCCTGCGATTTTTTATTCTGAGTAGTAAGTTTTTTAACATACAAAGCTAATAATCTACTGTAATAATGTATTAATTGTGAGTTACATGTACAATGATGTTAAAAAAAAAGTTTATTATCACTATTGCGATTAGTGTATATTTGATTAAATCATTCAATACTACAGTTAAGATATCTGTTGATAAAACAAATCTTGAAGAATATTGCTAGGTATTAAGTCCGGCATCCTCTTAAACTTATTCATGAAATAGATGAAAGCAAATTTTTTTTGCTGCTGAAGCGAAATATTATACGTCGAAATGCATGTGTTGCAATGAATCACCCAGTAAGCAATTTGATAACAAATTGTTGCCAAATTGGCATCAAATTCGCTCAAAACTTGGTAACAAATCCAGTGCCATCTGTGTCCGCATTAAGCTTGTGTTTTGGTGACAAAGCTTGCTAACATAACCTGACAGCAAATTGACGGCAAAAAACGAGCAAAGCTTGACATGATTTGACGTCAAATTGGTGCCAAAAATCGAGCAAGATCTGCGCAAGACAATCTGACAGCAGATTGTCAGCAAAAACCGAACAAATTCTGCAGCTTATGGCCATTCATATAAAATAGTATATTTAAATGGATTTAAAGTCTCAACCCTAAGTAACAAAATGATGATAAGTTTTAGTCATAAAATGACCATTAGATAATTAGACATCCTAAGTTAGGTCTCATAAGACCCAAAATATATCACATCAACGGGAGACCATTTTCTGACGTTCTTGTTTACCTTCATCCATAATTTTTTTTTTGAGCGCTTCCAAGGATGGTAATTCGTCATACAATTCGATGTCGCATCGAAAGTTGTCAAATGAGGATGGTAAACTATACAAGAGCATGATCGCGAGAAACTCCGGGTTGATTTCTATGTTCTTTTCAGCCAGTTTATCGACGATATTGAGAAATTCTTGTACATGTTCTCGTACATCGTCTCCATCTTCCATGCGTTGAAGCCTGAGCTGCTTTAGAAGTGTGTGAGCCGATCTCTTCGACGTATACGTTTTTTCTAGCTTCAACCATATTTCGTGGGATGTCTGGCATTCTTCAATTTGCTTCAATTTAGATGGTTTTATCGATAGTCTGATGTCCGATTTCGCTTTGTTGTCCTCATAGACATAGTATATCTAGACCGAGTGTTGAGGAGTGGGGGCCGATGCCCACGTAGAAAAGGACATACTCTGTTTCGTGCCCCTTGCGTTCTCTCTCGCTCGCACAAAGCATAGCGCTCTCTTTCATCATGCTACGTGCGAGCGAGAGAGAACGCAAGGGGCACGAAACAGAGTATGTCCTTTTCTACGTGGGCATCGGCCCCCACTCCTCAACACTCGGT